AGTCTGTGATTCTGTGATTTTATGAACTTGACAGGCATGATTTGGTTTTGGCACTGTAACTAAGATATTCTGCAGAGGAAAGTAGAGGAAAAGAAAGTGGTTGGAAGGAACCATTGCGGCAAAGAAAGTACAGCATACAAGGATGCAGTATGACAGTACATCTGGTGACTGCTCTTGGTGTTTGGGGAGATGAGGGTTCAAGACTGGCAACTAGTAACTTGTGAATTGTATTCTCAGCACTAACACACGCAAAGTCTTGATCCTGATGATGCCTGTGGTGTAGTTCCCAGTGACTTCAAAAGAACAGTGATTCATTTAGTCTGTCCTGTAGCCTTGGGCATGAATTTTTAGCTTGTTTGTCTAGCTGCAGCAAGTACACATGTCCCGTTTACCAGAGTATTGCAGGATTTATTAGGCAATGAGTAGAAAGCAGCTGGAGGGCGAGAATGGAGCTCCGCAGGCAGCGGTCTAAGCCCACAGTGCAGTAGTACTTGGAAGTGCTTGTGCTGGGTGTCTGAACCGTTAAAACCCTCCTGAAATTTATTTAAAGTATGTTTCATGACTTTTTGCACTTGCTTATATACTTGTACTGAGTAGTTGACTGAGCTGTTACAAACATCAGGACAAATGAGAAGTGAGCATTTGCATAAAACCTAAACAGAAGGGAGGAGAGGAGGCTTGGAATGCAAATGACAGCTTGTGCATTCTGCCACTGAGAAGGCATGTTATCTCCCAGCTGTTGAGCGTGTGTTAACATTTGAGGCATCCAGTGAAAACGTAGGTGCCTGAAAAGCTGCTGGGTTTTTGGTTAATTTAACTGGGATGCACGAACGGAGTAAATAATTAAGGAGAAGGAATAATTATCCTAAGGAGTACAGAACTGGAAAATTGAGTATTTTATATTTATAAAAATATAAGTGCATATGAATGAAAAAATTGCACAAACATACCTGGCACGCTGCTCTGGTGTTACAACTGATGTCGGCGTGCATTACAGGTGTACTCTGCAGCACCATGATAACTGTATTATGTCATGTATTATTTTTATTGATTTGTATCTATTCTTTGCAACACGCTTGCAAACTACTTTCCAGAAGGAGGAAGTATAGCTTCCCGTTTTCTGCTTCCCTTTCTGATACTTTGATTTTTTTCTTTTCAGGCTTTACTTTGTGGGATTCCAAATATTCCTGGAACTGGAATGCTGTTGATGTGGGACCGAAACGAGATCTTGTGGCTGAACTGGCAACAGCTGTTAGAAACAGGACTGACTTGCGGTTTGGGTTATATCACTCCCTGTTTGAATGGTTTAATCCCCTCTTCCTTGAGGATGCTGCCAGTGTCTTCAAGACAAGAAAGTTTCCAACCAGTAAATCGTTACCAGAACTGTATGAGATTGTGACCAAGTACCAGCCAGAAATAATTTGGTCTGATGGGAACGGAAATGCACCAGATACTTATTGGAACAGCACTGGTTTCTTGGCTTGGCTGTATAATGACAGGTACGTAATGATGCTGGTTTAGCTCCTTATCTGAAATTCTGCTCTGTGTCTAGTTTGTCTGGTTTCCTATATATTTTGCGGTACCCGTTACCGCTGCTTATGGGGACTGAACTAAATATTAATTTTCTTAAAATAGAGAATGCAGGTGTTCCCTAGAACTATCAGAGCTTGCTTTAGAAAAAGACTTTAAAAAAAAAAAAGAAAAAAAGAGAAAAGATAATTTCAAAACCTGTCGCTGTTGAGACGGACGCGACACGCACGGAATCGTGCACCAAAGCCAAAGGCCAAAATGGACTCTTTATTGTTTATACAAGCCCGTTTTATATCTTTCTTAAGAATGTGTGTTCATACATGATTGGTTCACTCAAAGGACCAACAGTTCATGATAGGATGATCTCTTCTTTGTTGCATCTTCGTTAAACTTCTTCTCCTTGCGGAGGCAGTACCTTGCTCTTGTTTACTCAGCTCTTCTCGGGACTTTTCAGACTCCTTAAGGGTACACGGTTATCTGCTCAAGGTTAATGTTAGCTTACATTCCAATCCCTCGGACCAGCCACCAGCCGAGGTTTCCCACAAAAACCTTTTTAACCACATTTGCAAATTAATCAGTGAAGATGATGTTGGCTGTTCTACCTAATGATGTTCTTCCCGAAGTACTGCCTGCTGCACAGACCAGCAGCAGGGTGATTTGAGGATATGGGTACCTTGTTGTCAGCGCAGCCTGCCTGTCTGGCCGTGGATGTGAAGTGCGGGCTGATTTCTGGCAGACCTCCTGTGAAAGTCTGCAGTGTATTTCCCTAAGAGATGCTGATCTGGACCTTTTTACTAGGAAAGGATGAGATTGGGATTCCTGAAACTGCACTTAGTCTAATTGCAATAAATTAACAGCGCAGCAGTCATCCTGCGTGTCACTTTCTGGGCGGGAGGGGGGTGTGTGGGAAGGGATGACCCTGGCCATGACTGCGGTTTTTTAGAATAAAAATCTTAAACCAGGAACTTGTCTCTGTTTCCAGTCCAGTGCGGGACACAGTGGTGACCAACGACCGCTGGGGAGCTGGCAGCATCTGTACACACGGTGGCTTCTACACTTGCAGCGACCGCTATAATCCCGGCCACCTCCTGCCTCACAAGTGGGAGAACTGTATGACTGTTGACAGGCAGTCATGGGGGTACAGGAGGGAGGCACAGCTTGACGATTACCTCACAGCTGAGGACTTGGTGAAGGTACAGTGGGACAAAGGGTGAAGTAATAAATCACTTTGTTCATTTGCAGCCTAACCCTGGCAGGATGGAATATCCATGTAGTTCTCATTAATGTAATAGGAATGCCTAAGAGAAAAATTATGTAGTGAAAATTCAGTCAGTTTCTTAGAAGCTCTTTCCCCTGGGCTAACTGGCCAAAGACTGAGCTGGACAGACTCAGAATTACCTTTTTCTACTAAGTTTTTCTGCTAACCGCACCTCTAAGTTGATGAGAAGCAAACAGTGGTGGTTTCACAGTTCCTGTTTAGGAGCTCCAGACTGCAGGCTGCATCTTTTCCACCTTCTAGCTGGAAACAGTTTATAACTCTTAATAGTCCTTTTACCTTGTAGCCAGAAACTTTCCTTTTATCCCAGTTCATTTAAAGGAAAAAACCCAACACAGTTAGTACAGACACATGGATAAATGCTAGCAGCTGCAGACGTCTGGTGTTAATAGAACATCGAATCCCTTTGCTAGTCTAGTGTATTAAAAAAGAGATTTGAAGCTTAGGAAAACTGAATGAAAGGAAGCCTGACCGCTGTCTCAGATAAACGCATTTAATGGCAAGATTCGGCCTGTGAGGAGAAGGTTGATTGTTATTGATGCTTAATCCAAATCTAGTAGTCCTTGCAGAAGATAACTTCCAATTGATGTAACCTCTTTCCAGAGGCAGAACGTTTAGATTCACACAGTGGCTGGTCTCCAGCTGTCTGTTCCTCAGACTCGTGCATCTCGGTCCATGGTCTTTGGAGGGCAGTGTGGATGTGAATGCAGGTATTTGTGGGCTCTGTAGAGGGCTTCCCAGTGTTCTGTGGATGTCTCTGTACAACAGGGAGATCATCAAACGGGGGAAGAAGGAAGTTGCTTCTCTCAGCTTCAGTAAAAACAAGGTGGCATCTATTATTCTCCTTATTCTCCACTCGTGCAGAGACAGCGGCTGTTCATTCTGTTGGCAAAACCCTGATGAAATGCCCGTGGGAGTCGAAATGTTAGAAGGTCGTAGGATCCGATTCTCTTGTAGATTCAGTCAGACACGTTGGTGCAAAAATGTTTTTGGGACCGTTTTCTGCCGGGAAAAATTGGCAGCTGAGCTTTGTTTGATGGGAGCTTAAATTTTGCGTGGGCTGTTGGGACAACCCCTGAAGTCCAGACACGCAGCAGTAACGTCATGCGCTCAGCTCAGTTGCGAAGCAGTGCCTGGCTTTGGAGAGAACTTCAAACATTACGACATCATTCGCTGTAACCGTATGTTCCGTGTGTGTGTTCTAAAACATTTCAGCAACTTGTGGAAACGGTGTCTTGTGGAGGAAATCTCTTGATGAACATCGGGCCCACTCGCGACGGTCGCATCGCTGTTGTGTTCGAGGAACGCCTGAGGCAGGTGGGCGCCTGGCTGGAGGTCAACGGAGGAGCCATCTACGGGACGAAACCGTGGAGGGCACAGAACGACACGGTCACACCGGGAGTGTGGTAAGGCTGCTGAATTGAAGCGTAGGCCTTGTAAAGCAGCAGCAGGGCAGGTGAAACTGCAAAATTCTTAACGGCCCGATGCTATGGAAATCGCCATCTTACTTGATATGCTGTGAAGAAACCAGCCCTATTGTCAGTTGAAGTAGCTGCACATCAGAAGTGTGTATACAGCTGTAGGTAGACGATGGGTGTTGGAGAAGGTCATTTCCAGATGGTGCAGAGGCTGAAGGGAAGGTTGCAGGCATTTCCTTGGTGATCTTATGCTTCTGAGTGTAGCTGGGAACAGAAACTATGAGAAAATATAAACCCAGAAGTATAAAACTGCTATAAAGTGTTTATCTGTAGAAAGGAATGCTTGATGTTGCTGTTTAGAGAGAAAGAGGGGAGAGAAGGAAACTAGAACCCAGTCTGGCATATTTCACATTTCTTTTTGAGGTGAAAATGCACAGGAAGGTAACAGCACTTGTTTGGCTGCTGAACTCAGTCAGTCTCTAGGCTCTACTCCGCCTTTGTGCCTTGTAGCTGCGGTAACGCCTCCCTGGTCTAGTGGAAGGTGTCCCTGCCCATGGCAGGGGGGTTGGAACTAGATGGTCTTTAAGGTCCCTTCCAACCCAAACCATTCTGTGATACAGCAGGGTCTTGGTCTTGACCCTCTTCTCGGCCTCAGTGGGCCTTTTTACTCGTTTTCCCAGTAAGGTCTGACTCTCTGCCTTTAGCCTTGAAATGCTGAACTGCAGAGGGGTTAGCTAAATCACTTCCAAGAGCAATAAAAACTTTAACTAAAGGCAGGAAGGAGGGAAGAATGTTGCCGCAGGATTTCCAAGGCCATACTGCAGATGTCTGCTGAAACGAACTCACCAGCAATGCAAGGTGGAGGCTAGATTGCTGCACGTGCTTTTTTTGGTGGAATGTCCGTATGTCTGCATGTAGGTGTGAATTACTGTATTTTTCTGAATATAACCCACAATTATGGGTCAGTGACCCCTCCTGCCCTGCAAGCACCTCCTTCCTACATGGCTGAGGAGCAGCGCGCTGCTCGCTCAAGTTACTACGGATGTTTACCTCTAAATTCAGTTCTTCAATAGTCTCTGTTACCTCCAGTTTGTTGGAATGTATTTTCAAGGAACAGTACTTTATTAACAGGTATAAACTGTCTGAAGAGGTGGGTATGTGTGGGAAGGTGTAATGAATGCTGACTTTTCAAATCCGTTTTTCCAGTCTTGAAAGCGCTTAACATACTGCTTCGGGAAAGTTAGAAGGAAAAACTGCCACGCGTTTCTCTTCCCCATTTCCACCCAGGTACACTTTCAGCCCTAGAGAAGGCACAGTCAATGCTATCTTCCTTAACTGGCCAGCCTCTGGGACTCTGCAGCTTGGCGAGCCACAGGCTAAGCTTGGAGAAACACAGGTAAAAGACACCCCCCCACCCTTCCCTTCCCCGTGAGAACAGCGAGGCTTTTCCCAGGCAGTGCCGGAAGCGAACGCGCTCTGAAGGGAAGCACCTCTAGGGTTTCTCGTGTTCCATCAGCGGTTATGTCCGTTTTTGGCATCTGGGGGAATGTGTAGCTCTTTGGTGAGAGGACGCTGGAAGAGACCCAGCAAAACGTTTGGTTTTGTTCTGTGACCTCCTTGTCATAGTCCTCCCAGTGGGGTGCGTCTCTTCCAACACGCGAAGTTAGAGTGAATTGTTGCTGGGATGTGTCCTAGCTCGCAAACCAAGAATCGTAACAGGCCAAGTAGCAAGGAAAAAAACCTGCCACCCCTCCCCGTTCCCCGTGTAGGCTGTCACTCGGCACGACCTTTCCGGGCACTCCTCCTGGTGACTTCGGCGGTGCCGAAATTGCTGTACCGCTGCCATGCTTCCAAGGCAAAGCCCTGCGTGAAGGGCTGTCACCACCGGAGTGCCAGGCCACGCGTCGGTGTGGTGACCCTCGATGGGTGTCGTGGTGGCTGGGAGCGGAGGACGCGGATGCCCCAGTTCCGTGGGCAGCAGCGTGGCCCAGCAGCAGCCGCCTTACAGAGCAAAAGGTGCTTGGGGCTTGGCATCAACGCTGCGTGCCAAGGTGGGGACTCGCTCCTACTTAGCACTGTCCTGGTCTCGCGCACTAGACGTCCACCCGCCGCGGAAACGCAGGAAAGGTGTTTTACGACTGTCTCTTCCGGACTAGTTCCATAGGAAAAGAATCTGGTTAGTGCCAGGTCAGCTCTGCCGTAAGGAAGAAAGAGTAAGTTCAGAAATGATGTGGATGCAGCTCGAACTTCATAGAGGCATCTCGGCTCTGTGTGCACAAGAGATGTGTGTCCCCTCAGGGACGGGGACCGGGCTTCAGCTGCTTCCCTGGCTTCCGCACTTCACCAGCGGGCGGAAGTCTCACCGTAACACCTACTGGGGTGGTTTTAGTGGAGCAGTTCCTCGGGTCAGCTTTGTGCTGAGATACCCAGCTGCACGCTGTAAGGAACGTCGCTCGCTCGACACCCCAAGCTCCACTGTGGGAAATGGGCATTTCGGAAATGAGTGACGCACAGCTGCGTGCTGTGGTAGCTGGATCCCTGCTTAGACCCGAACCCCATCCCAAATAGCTCCCAGGTGTGTTTATATACCTTTTACAGACGGAAGTACTGCTCCAGACCACGCGTCACTAGCTTCATAACTTATGTGTCTACTTTGCACCTGTTCTACTGCCTTTAATCATAGCTTTATCGTTTAGTTGGTTGACGAGAGGTTTTTAACGAGAACTGGGTAGTAAAGCAGCTCTGAAACGCTTCTGTCAGTTTTGCATTTACACGGACGTTGAAAAGGTGCTGTGCTAATGACAGTGTACATCTCCCCCAGGTGAAACTGATTGGCTACGAGGAGCTCCTGAAATGGATTGCACTGGGGGAAAAGGGAATGGTGGTAGCTCTGCCCCCGTTAACGCCAAAGCAACTGCCCTGTCAGTGGGGCTGGACTCTGCAGCTGCTGGACGTGAACTGAGCCGCGCGCCGTGGGAGCCTTGGCGAGGCGGGAATGCTCAGGTTTTGCCCAGCCTCTCAGCGGTGGCTTCTGACTCTTGCTTCCTTGCCTGGGAAACATCAGTAGCCTCACTTTTTTTAAGGAATCATAGAATGGTTTGGGTTGGAAGGGACCTTAAAGACCATCTAGTTCCAACCCCCCCCTGCCATGGGCAGGGACACCTTCCACTAGACCAGGTTGCTCCAAGCCTCATCCAGCCTGGCCTTGAACACTTACAGGGATGAGGCATCCACAGCTTCTCTGGGCAACCTGTTCCAGTGCTTCACCACCCTCTCCTGAAGAGCTTCTTCCTGATATCCAATCTAAACCTCCCTATCACCTAAGGAAGGTGAGCTGTTGTTAAAGGACGGACTGGCGTGAACCTTGGGTGCAACCCTGGAGTAGGTGCTGAATTGCTGCATACGATTGGTTTCACTGAGCTTGTGTGAAAACTGCGCGTCTGCCTTGACCTCTCCGCTCTTCTGTAGGCAGGGGCTTGCCCAGGTGCATGAAGAACGGGGTGGAGAAACGGGCACCAGCATTCTAAAGCCGTGAGAAAGAGCAAAGCCAGCCCAGGCCAGCATTCAGCACATCCGCCAGCCTGTGGAAGTCAGTCATGTACCTTCTTTAGTGCAAGAAATCTAACTTCCACAAAACTGTACCCTAAAAGCTGTTGGTTTTAGGGGAAAAAAATAGCCTTTTTCCAGTTGTATGCAACAGCTGGCCGTTTGGGCTGAATGTGGTAACGTACCTGCATGAACAGTCCTGGAGGGGTTAGGAATCCATCACAAAGGCCTGGGGGCAGTGCGTGCGTCCGTCCTCATTTCTCATCGTGAGCGTAATTCCTCTTACACCTTCTGCCGTTGAGTCAGCGTGCCCGTTGTCGCGATACAGGTAAAGCACGAGGGCTGTTGTGCTGTTTTGTATCATTTTACGTGGTTAAAGCCGACTCCGTTCAGAGCTGTTGTTATCGCACAGTTACCAGGGTGCCTTCTGCGGACTATGAAACAAACCAGATGCTTCCATGACTGATTTTCTTTGAAAAGAGGAATAATCTAAAGTTGCTAGGGATCCCCAACTTCGCCCAAAAGGTTTCCTTCCTGCCAGAGGGTAGACTGCCTCCCACTCGAGGAATTCCCCAACTCGCCATGTCAGGGTGCGTAGGGACCCACCCACCATGCGATGCTGGCCGAGAGGGGGAGGTGTGGGACAACAAGCAGCAGGGATGGCTTCGGCCCAGACACACCCAAGGCTGGTTTTTCCCGTTAATAACAGCAAAAAACTATCACCGCAGGAGTGGAGTTTATTCTTTCAGCCACGCGAGGACGGGCCAGACGAGGCTGCTGCCTTTCCTGCAGGTGCTGTTGATACACGAACAACTTTTACATTAAAATATTTTATTACAGACAGTCGGGCTCAGAATTAATACAAATGAAGATAAAATATGTACAAGTTAACGTGTACAGTGCAGCTGTTTGAACAGCATACACGAGAGAACTTCTAAAAATCCACACTCCTTCGGTATTACTAAGCAAGAGGGAGCAGCTCTCCTCCATGTGTTCAAGAGGGGCACACATCAGCTGGCAAAGGTTTTCTGAAGAATTGAGACTCTTAGCAAATGCTGTTCCAAGGTTAAGGGGGGAAGATAAGAGTTTTCCTTTATAAAAAAAAGAGAATTTGGGAGCAGAAGGAAGAAGCCTTACTTCATTAAGTTTTGGAAAAAACTAGTGACAGTGAACTGACACAGCCCAGGCAAACAAATGGGGTTTTTAGTAACTTCTTGTAATACTGCCACCAAGTGCAATAAAAGTAACCCGGTGAATTACGAGGGAGTTTAACCGCTTCTTTAATAGAAAAGTCTTTACACGCAACGATTCTTTGAACAAGCGCACTGTTAACGGCCGTTTGAAATGGGATTCTACCAGAACAAGAAGGGGGTCCCTCCCACTTTTTCCAGAATGTTCTTTCTGCCGGTCTGCCACTCCTACACCATTACAGAATGGACCCAGCTCCCGTCAGCAGTCACCAGGGAGTTGTTACAAACACGCTACACCTACTCCTAGAAACGTGCAGTTCATTTCTCTAGCTGCTGAGGGGTACTGAAAGCTTCGTAAACGTTAGCAGCAAAATCTTTCACTTGTTCCATCGTCAGCAGGTCCTGGAAGAAATTTAAAGGGTAAGTTGGCTTAACCGAACACGTCCACCGCTATCCCCCTGTCGCTGCGGTAGCAAGTGCAGCGTGCCAAGAGCTCCTGGCGCTCCCACAGCGAGCGGGAAATGGAACTCGCCTTTCTTGCTGCAGAAAGGTTATGGGCAGAACTGCCAGTAGAACCAGGTCGAGAGCCCCTTCTGTGCTTCTGCAGAGAGTTTAGCAGAGAGAAGGGGGTCTGGAAAAACAGCCTAGTTCTGGAAGATGGGAATTAACAAAGAGTTTAAGTTTTGTCAATTGTTTCTGCCCTTTTTTTTTTTTTTAAGCCACTGAAATCCAACAGAATGAAATACATTACCAAAAGGAAATATGCAAAATGAATTTCAAAACTTTACTTGGGATGTCTACATCTGCAGAATTACCAG